TGTTTCATCACCTGTCCTCACTAGCCTGACTCTGACCCAACAACTCATGTTGTATATGTTTGGCCGTTTCATCACAAGACTGACGCTGACCTGACAACTAATGTATGTTGTTGGTCATATTTGGCTTTTTCATCTGGTGTCTTCAGTAGATTGACTTTAAGCTGCTAACTGATGCTGTGCAGGCTTGGAATTTTTAACAGGGGTCATCATTGCACTGACATGGAACTGCTGTTTCTTCACATGTCCTTGCTAGACTGAGAAAGACCTAACATCTGATGTTGAACATGCTTGGCTGTTTCATCAAGTGTCCTCACTTGACTGACTTAAACCTGACATCTGCTGTTGTATCTGTTTCGCTGCATCCAGCTGACTAACTGAGCAATAATCCTAAAGGAAAAGAGAGAAAATAATCAGGAAAGCTCTCAGGCGGGCTTCATCTGGTGAAACGTTGTAATAAACATTGGTTCTTAAATAATGGACCACTTACACAGACAAACTTTCTTGATGTCAATTTGATCTGAAAAATCCTTACTTGAAATTCAAATTTAGGTAAAATTTATGTTAAATTGAGGTCAATTTCACATGAATTTTTTTTCAGGTTAGTTTCATGTCAATTCAGGTGAAATTTCCATGTCAATTTGAAGTCATTTTCAGGTGAAATTGACTGAAAAATATACATGTAAATTCAGATACAACTTTCATGTCAACTTCGGGACAAATTGAGGTCAAGTTTTGAACTGAAATTGACCTTTTTTGCTCTTTTCGGGTAAAATTGACCTGAAATTGACATCAAGAAATTTTGCCTGTGTATGACAACACAATGAAGATGAGTTTTTACCTGCGGATATACCTTTAAAATAAAATTTTACTGAGTAAAACGTTTAATTTACTTGTACACGTGTACAGCTTTCGATCTCACCTGGTGACATCTTCCCACAATGTTTGGATTTAACCTTGTACACCAACAATGTCCTTTAAAAGTCTTACCTTGAGAAAAACCTTGGCAAGATTACTTAGTCTCTTGTTATTAGCCTCAGAAAACCTCAGCATACATTCTACAATAGGCAAAGCTGTAATCTCTGGAAAAAAAAGGAGCACAAATGTCAACTATACATCTTTATTTATAACTACTCAACTACGGTCAACTTTACAGTTTTCTTTCGACTTTTTGTCAACTTTTTATGTACATCTGTAAAGATGAGCTTCATATCTATATTTAAACAATGGTCAAAATTGTATTTATAAGAATGATCATCTTTGTAAATATATTTGTAACAATGTTAAATTTTTTACACATATTTATAACTATGGTCAACTTGTATAGGTCTACATTTGTAACAACGGTAGACTTTGCTGTTATATTAGTATATTTTTTTCAAAATTCCCTTCAAACTCCATGAGAACCTAGTACAATACAGCAGTGTAAATGTGATGTTTAAAGCTGATTGCTACCCTACCTTTCTTTGATTCAGGTGTAGTAAGGTACATGAGTGTTGTGATTGTTGATAACACAGTTTCTTCATTAGGACTTGGAAACAAAACAATACAAATTATTTCATAACATTTAAAATAATGTTTCAAAATTTACAAAGACTAAATTCTGACATGATGAAGTAAACATCTATATTTTACAGAAAGTAACAATTTTATATATATTGCTCAAGGTCACTTAGTATAACAACAGGGGAGACAACTCCAACACAGGCGAGAATTATCCACTAGCTCACTCAACAAGACAGACAACCAGTGACAAGCTTCATAAACAGGGG